TCACTTCCAAGCTGTACGACGAGACTCCTCCCGACCATTCCGAACTTTGATAAATGGCACGTTGCCCGCTGGGTTGCTCTTAACTTTGAACTACATACTGTTTTAGCTTGAATATCTCCGCCAATCGTCAGGCGTTCTGATACGACAGACAGGAAGTTTTCAAAAACTTGATAAAGATCGAAATTAGGGTACAGCGTGAGTATAAGTACTGTGTAAGTAAAATACAACCCATTAGGGAAGACTGTCAACGACATCCTGTAGGAGCAGCTCAATAGCGGCGAAGGTGACGGGCTTCACGAGGCTGTCAATGGAGTTAGTTGCAATACTCTGAAAAATAACGAGAGGAAGAGTCGCACTATCCGTCAAATCCTGTCTCGGTTGCCTTGACCCGGTCCTCCGGGGTCGCCAAGCCTGTGATAGCGAATACCTTGGTGGGTGGAATGCCATTTCTGCGTGGGGTATTCCATTCAGCTTCTAACTGGCGTATCTCCCTCGTTGCCTCGAAACCGTCTTTATGAGGCATTTGGAGATCCATCAGGCAAACGCTAAATGAGCAGGTCCATCAGGATTGGATTGCATAAAACAGGTCGAGAATACATACTGGAAAGGAGAGACTTTACTTTCTCGGAATCGTTCGACCCCTTCTATGCCGTTATTGGCCGCTACAAAGAAACAGCCTCGCTTCTTAAGGTAGGTGGTCATGACTCTACGATTCACCTAGGGCATGTGAGCTATACCGAGATAGAATTACTTCGAAGCACACAAACCGGATTATCCTCGACTACCAATATCCGAAGGTGATTTATACTGGTGATAGATTGTGGGCGTATTGCTGTGGGCTGATGATTTGGATGCTCTTGAGTAGCTGTAGGGCCGGAAATTTGTGATACAGTTGATGAATTCGGAAGCGTGTATTGCGATAAAGCTGGGCGAGTTGTATTGAGATATCCGAGTAATGTAGACAATGCTTTTGAGAGGGCATGAGGCCCCAGTGGTTTGACGACGATCGCACAGTCATTGCGATCGCCACTATAGTCTTGAATAGCTTTAAAGACCATCGAATCGACTGGCGAGGAGCAAAGTAGAAGAATCATAGGATGGTTGGTTCCCAGCTCATCGAGCTTCGAGACGTCGGCACTATCCCCGTCTACAATCAAGAGCTCGGCTTTGCTCACGTCCACCTCCACAACCGTTTCATACCAGTGTTGAAGTCCTCTCCGAATCCCTGATGCCAACATCGCTGAGCCTCTGTGCTCTTTATAGAACCCACACATCGCAAAGGATGGCAGTAGTTTGGGTTGTAGCTGAGAATACGGGGAGCGTGTCCATGAACGTGAATCATTCGCAATAGGTGGCTGTAGTCGAAGGATCATTCGGGTTCCGACGTCGACTTTTGTATGAACATCAATAGTACCCTCGATCCCAGGTGACTTCAGTATAGAACGGACTGTACGGAATAAGTAAGACAATTGGTCGACTATCCAATTTGACATTCACCTATGGCAAGGCCTAGGCCGATCCCTTGTGCCAGAGGCGCCTCTTGAGAGAAAGGATGGAAGAGTTTGTCTCGAACAAAAGTTTCAGATATGCCCTAGGAGAGAAAATTGAGTTGTCTTGTCGATACAAAAAGGGGGATTACTTACGCATCCCGTATCCTCCACCACTATTTCGACTGCCATCCGCTCAGGATCCGTAGACACTCCCCGATGGAGACCAACTTTGACATATCCCCCCTAACAGGAAAGAAAAAAGGATGATGAGATCAGCACATGCCAAGATTCGTTGTACTGACCCGTGTAAATTTCATGCTGTTTCCAATCTGTTCACGGTTAGGGCTAGGAAAGGCAAATGTATCGCAAATACTGATCTACTGACCAGGTTGAGAAGTATTCGTCGAAGGCCACTCTTGTCAATCATTACCGACCAATTCTATTAACGCTATCAGACAAATACCTAGAAGCACCAAAAAGAGAAAAGAAAAAGAAAAGAAAGAAAAACTGCCGTACCTCAACCGGCTCAATGTCAATTAGTGGTTCCACAAAGTCTGGAGACTCCGATTTCCTTCTCAAGGATAAGGATCCTGCATTATAGATCTCACCAATGCCGTCGTTATGAGGTTGTACGGTCCTTCCCAACCAACAGCTCGTCATTGTCTCTTCCACTAACTGTGCGAGATCCACACTATAAATCTCGGGTCAGCAGGATTACGAAGGGGAATGCCACAAAAATAGTCCATACTATTCGCGTAGTGCCTCTGAGCGCATCGCATTTGCCTTTGTGAAGTCCAAAACGTGATTGATTGTCTCCGCGAGGCTCTGTATATTGGATCAGTTCGGAATGAAGCCCTGAGGAAATCGAAATTCACGGAAGCGCACGCCTTTGCTGTTTCCAGCAAGGATTCTTGGGCGTCAGTGAGGTTGGTTTCGCTGAGCAGGTCGCAAGATGCGATGACACCATGCAAAGGAGTTCGCAACTATTGCACGGTGAGTAAAAGTATATCCTGAGTACTGATTCAGGCGATACATACCTCGTGAGAGATACTGAAGAACTGTCAGGCTCCCTTCAAAAGGCAGGGAAAAAAAAAAGCAATACTCACTTTGCAATGAAATCAATCTTGGCCTTATCTGCTAAGGACAAAGTTTGCTTCTCTTGTACTGTACACACAATTGTCCCCATAGCGCGCAAGTAGGCCATCACTGCAATCGTCGACACGAAGGGAGGACATTCCTTGCTGGAATAGGCAATAATAACCATAAAAGGTTCATCAGACCCGCGATTTATAAGAGTAGCTATAATGCATCGTCATCATCCAAGATTTCTAAATACTTGGGAGAAGGAAGAAACGAACCGCCAGCGGTGACACCGGGAGGTAACATGGACGTGAATTCAGGTAGCGATTCACCATGTCCATGTACAACCTCTCCATTACGATCTTTGAAGATTTTAAGCAACGTTTCCGACTCCACCATCACGTCCTTAACGTGCGTCATCGCGTGTTCGGACGCTGCGAGGATGGGGACGCTGACAGATCTGCCAAGTGGATTCTGTTCCGTTTCTGGTACACATAAGCAGCTGTGTAGTGCCTAATGACAAGGCGAGCGACGTACTAGCTAGAGAGGCTTTGCAGGGTCGCACGTCCAAACACAAAACTCCCTCGATCGCAAGCATGGACTGTATCGAGTTCACCATGATGGATAAAGCCTGCTGCCCTGTATAGCTTCCAGTGTTGATGGCCTGATTAAATGTCTCGACGGAAATGTGCAGGCTCTCTCGGAAGACCTCTTCTCGCTGCTGAGATTAGTTTGATGAAATTATTCTAAATAAACCACGTTACTTGTTGAGCATGCGCTTCCAACTCATGCATGACCATTCCAGCAAGCTCCTTCAACTGGTTCTTGTCGCGCTGGGTAAACTCTGACTGCGGCTTGCTGTCTAGTATGCAGACCGTCCCTATATGGAAACCGTCACTCGTTCGAAGTGGATGGCCGGCGTAGAACCTGATCGACCAAGCACCTGTGACCGTGGGCTGATCCCCGACATTAGAATATAGGTGTTCGGGAATGAGACCAAAACTGACATTGTTACGGAATCTCCAATCTTTCAGGGCATCTTGTACGACCATGGGTTCATCTGGACTATGAGTTCACATCAGCAGCGGCTAGCAGATATACTGTAAGCTCACACGTCGACCAATATGGTGTGACTACACATCGATTCGCCCCGGGGAACCATGACTGGTTTCGCGTCTGGCAACGTGACATGAGTGAAATCGGTGTCCACCAAGGATATTGCTGCATTATCACTACTCTAGTCAGTCATTGCCTTGGGAGGGAGGAATCAACTTTACACAGAAAACATGAGTTTTCCCAACCGAAGAATGCGACTTAAATCTTGGTCGACATCAGACTGAAAGGGTTGGTATCTAATAAGTGTTCAGTCATCCATCACGAGCATATATATAGAATTAGGAAGCCTACCTTCGCAGAGCCCTTCGTCGTTGTCCTTCTCTGCGTGGCATCGGTGCTTCTAAATATCCTAGCTATTCTTTCTCAGCTGACGTCCCAGTGGCTAATAAACGAGGGCTCGGTTTACCTTTTCGAATCGGTGTCGCGAAGCCACGGACAAACTGGAGGGTGATATGCAATGGAGGGCGGATGAGGTTGGTGCGGTGTCAGTTGACACCGACAGAGTCTCCTGGGGACTGTCAGGATGAAGGGACGAGGAGGCGAGATTTGCTTCATGAAAGTCGCGTTCGAATACGTTGTGTATAGCTTCGGACAGTGGAGTCAAAGAAATGGACGTGCTAGGACTGAATTGTGAGTGAGATTCTTCCAAGTAGGAACGATACGCCTCCTCTACCGATTCGAGGATGGGCGGGGGGCTGTCCTTCTTTGGCTTGGAGAGACCTATAGTTGTGCCACTGATTTCATTATCTATGAGTTCCTGAAGCTCGATGGGAATAGGTGGGATACTATTCGAAGCCCAATCGCCCTCGGCATAAGTAGTGAAGAAGGATGCCGAAGAGCTCTCTGCTAATTTAGTAACGAGATCGAGATCGTAAATGTCTTTCGATGTACAAATGTGCATGAGTGACTCAGCGAGCACTTGCTATCTGATTGCTTACCAATGAGCTCGAGCTCGTCATGGAGGGCATCGGTAAAGGCACGCACGTCGCCTGCATCAGAGTCTGGAATTACGTCTGAGTGAGAATTGTTGCGTCTTGCAAGAGGGATTTGCTCTGTGAATGAATCTGAGGACATTCAGTGACTGCGACTGTGATCGTTGGGTCCAAGAACCAGCCGTTCTCTCGACGTCAATCCAGGTGAGTATATGCATGTACAAAGCTTGAAACTAGTCTGGTTCTAGCCTTTTAGAGATCGTTATGTATAAAACTGTTATGTATTGGATGCACCAGGCCTTCCAATGACGCAATGAGTTTGCGAAACTCCAAAGATAAAAATCTGTTTATATAAACTAAATTTCCAGTGAAACTTATTCTAGGCACTGTGGCGCAATGGTAGCGTGTGCGCCTCCTATTTCTAATGCAATCGTGGTTTTAGTATAGGAGTCCAGCGTGAGGTTTAGGGTTCGAGTCCCTACTGTGTCAACTTTTTGCTCTCACTTTTGGTCAAGGATATCTATCAGTGAACTGAACAGCACAGAACAAGGGGTCCTTTTTGTTGACAATTTATGAGCGGTTTCATTTTTGGATACGACTGATATGGTTTTTGAGCTATGTACACGAGAACTAAACTACTGTAGGCACGAGAACACAGAAAGCAGGGCGAATACTGTACACCACAACGAATCACGGTTGGGACGATCGACGCAAAAGTTCATTCTCCATCTTGTCACGGGTCTTCTTCAACAAGAACGATATCTGACGCAACCCATCGTCGTCCAAAGCCGTCAGCAGAGAGTCCACCTTCTGGATGGCCTCCCGCACTTCAGTATCCAATGTAGGCTGCGAAAACGTCTGTCTCATGAGCGGCTTGGGCTTCGTCACGAGGCTACCAAACACAGATGGCTCCGAACGAGCTCGAGCTGCTTCCTGACGCCTCTTGCGCTCAGCAAGAGCTTTTAAGGGACTCTCGGTGCTATCATCTATAATGAGGAACGGGTCAGGTCTCAACACAGAGGGCAAAGTCAGAGGGAATTTTCTCACCACTACCGGGCTCTCCCTTTACCATAGGAGGCGATACGATATCTCGAGCATCAAAATCACCAGAGATGGAAGCCGTTTCATCTGATGCAGGTATCTGAGCTTGCGGGGCATCATCTACTCATTTGCTTAGTCCTCTTCCTTGGCAAGCTACAATTAATATTCAACTCACCACTGCTTGGTACGGCATCATCCGAATGAGGCGCAAAATTCAATGCAGGAGACTTTGAAGCGTCAGCCACTCGGCGGCGCTTCGACGATGGGTATCCTCTCTCCGCGTCCGCGTGGCCACTCTTGATATAAGTGTCGTGCTGCTTATTGCTTGTTGGGGCTACGGGTTGGACCGATGTAGCCTGCTTTTGCGGCTTCACGGTGGATCCTCCCGGAGGGCCTTGGAACTGATACGGTTGAGAAGGCAAGTTGTGCTTCGTGAACGGCTGGAACGGCAGAACCTGATCTTCGTTGTCGAATTCGTTCCAGAACCAGGGCTTTCGTGGAGTGCTCTCATCTTCTGAATCAGAGTCATCGTCCAAGGTTTGTCTTCGGCGCTTCACAGGTGTCGCATCTAGGAAAATAGTCTAAGAACCATGGTGAATAAACAAGAAAGAACGCTTCACGCACCTTCTTCATCCCCTGATCGCCTCTTCTTTGCCGATCTAGTGGGAGACTGGACATTGAATACTGGTGTGCTCGATAATTTGTACGTTTCATTGGAAGGGCTCTGACCAAGACCGGGAATCGCGTCACGGGGAGAAGCGGGCCAATCGAAGAGGGATTGAGACACTTTGAACTGGGGTTCGGTATCGGCTGCTTCAGTAAGATCCTCCGATGAGCCCACCCATCGTAGACCAGAGCTTGCTCTGAAATTAGGGATACAATCGTCGTCTCCCACATCAGGTGCTTCACTCGGCGGCGCCGCCTTAGCCAATGGGTCGACAGGATGGAAGTTATCGTTTGAATCAACAATGGGGGATGCCAATGCTGTTGTCGTATTGTCTTCATCACCTTGCACAGGGGATGGCTCCCCTTTGTTTTCAATGTCGGCTTCTACTTGATTCGGTGGTGACGTATCGACTTGGCTCAGCTCTTGAGATGATTGCTGATCTGCAGCCATAATAATAGTGCAGATTTGGGGGGGTATATCGTCCCAATTGACTATTCCCGCGTAGTGTGTGTTCCAAAACGTCTCAAAGGCCTTCAGAGTGGCACCTTCTGCCGTAATACGACTGGTGATGGAAGTAATAAGCTCACAATGGTCGACTAGGGTCTCCTTGCAGGCAGGAAGTCGCCCAGCCATTTCGAGGGCTGCCGTGTATGTCGAGCCTATGATCAGGTCGTATTCTGCATCGTTGAGAATTTGCTCTTCATCAGTGATCCAATGGATGAGACTAGGTGTAAATGAGGAGAGGGTGGCCGGCGGTAATTTCGGCATTGCCTGGGTAAGCAAGTGAAGATTTGTGATGGATGTGTGCAGGGCATCGGTTACTCCGGAATCGTAAGCATTGATGAGAGATTCATTGATGAGAACGTGTACGTCCTCGCAGTCAACGTCTTCAACCGCATCTCCTGGGAGAGTACGCAGAATCGCAGATGCAACGCGACAAGCATTGAGTGTGCTTGAACGAAGGCTTAGCGCTATGTAGCGAGAAGGGAAAAAGCTTGAACTTACGATAGAGTGCCTGAAAGCTCCTCGACGAAGGCGTGCTGTAATTGAAGCATGTCTTCGGCTACCTCGCCGCGCGACTGCATATAAACAGCCCACGCATTTTCCCATCGAGTCCAATCCGCCTCATTCATCTGGAATGGTTGAGGTTCGCTAAGTCCTCGAGTGAATACACTTAGAAATCGATGCGTATGAAGCAACACACCTGAATGGAGCCAGACAAAGAGCCCTGACAAAATCTTCCTTTTCGGCTCCATCAATTGCATGAACCCAGACGTTGTGCTTCAGGGTCATCGTCCATTCCTCGTGTCCCATCATCAGAACCACGATCGAGCTTTCGACAGCAGCGAGACGAGCGAATAGGTCGACGCAGACATCTTCAATCTTTGGTTCGTCTGTATTGAACACTTGTAGCGCTTGATCATAGATGTCGATCGCCAGTTGTCGCAGTTGAGTAGAGTCGCCGAACCTATCCACGAGGCCGATCCAAAGTTGCTTGACGAACCGAGCTTGGACAACTTGGTGGTACATTATTTGGGTAGGATGATCACCCGGATCAGCAAGGTTCGTCCATACGTGGGCTTTCTGGGTCAAAAACTCCAAAACTCTCTTGGACGGTGGTGAAGGGAACTGTTTGAGGAGTAGACTCCATGTATCAATGATATTTTCCTGTCAAAATCTCAGACAATGATCAAGGCATATGCATGAACCATACCATTGCGTGGCCTCTGTCATCGACACCATGCCCTTTGATGCTTGCGAGCCAAATGTCGTATAACGCGTCCAATCTCTCGCTGCACTCCTCTGTTCGGAGAGCAGTTACTTCACGGACCCAGTCTACCTCCAACGTCGACTGATCTTTAATGAGCACAAGCAGAGCTTTGGTATCGCTCTCCGCAAGCTGCCCATCGAAGAGAGGTAGCGGCAGCAACTTATTCAGCTCCCAGCCTGGTACTGGTCCCTCAGGCTCCACAAAGCTTTCCGTCTGCAACAGGCGGTCGAGTATTTGAATCGCCTCCGCCGTATTGGCACGCCTTTTTGCCATCTCCGCTAGGGTCGCCAAGCTGAGCTCAATGCGCAAGTCTCGGTCTTCGCGGCCTGCACTGCCAACGAGAAGAGAGCAAACAATGCCAACGCCGACTCCCTTATCGAGAAAGTCAAAGACACGTCGTATCAGCTCCGCGCGTTTCTGATGCGCATCCATATCGAGATCCTCAAAATGTCGTAGTATTGACCAAACATAAGCTCGCCATGCCCATGATGCAGCAGTTCGAACAGCAACACGCTTGCTCACTAGGAGAAGCCGAATGATCTTCGTCACGGTTCCCGTGATGACAGCATCATCGTGAACGACACGTCCCGCCAAAACAATGAGGGATGAGAGAACCGTGAGCCCCCACATGGCGCTGGTGTGAGCTGCAGTCTGGATCGCTGCGGGCGGCGACGACCCGTTCGACTCTCCACTATCTTTTGCTGCAGTGGTTTTGATCAGGTTTTGGAAGAATTTGGTGATGACGAGAAGGATCTGAGGGAGTTGTAATTCCCCACTGTTTTCCTTCTTCTTTACAGTCCGTAAAGAAAGGCACTCCTTGAGACAGGCAGTATCAGCAGGGGTTATGTGAGCCTCGGTCGACGACCACGCTAGTCCTGCGATCGCAAAACCGGCCTGAGTTTGCATTCCACACACTGGACCCTGCAGGATTTTTACCACCGATGGCAAGAGCACGCCGAACGGAGTCGCAAAAAGCAGTGGCTTCTCCATACTCAACAGAAGCACCCCACGAAGTGCATCGGCGGCGGATCCTTTCTTTCCCTCCCGACCAAGTTCTCCGTCAATGCTACGTTTGAAAACTGCTGCGATTTGGTCTGCGTGGGTTGCGAGAGCGGTTGGAGTGAAATTTGAAGAGCTGAGGACATTTACAGCCAGAGCGCACGTCTTGCGTGAGTTGGGCGTCGGCAAAGGGGACGATAATGGCAAGGTTATAACCGCCCCGAGTAGGTCGGATAACTCAGATTCTGGAGACGATTCAGTTACGAAAAGGGCACGTCAAGGCCAACAACTCACCAGTAAAGAGTAAACCTTCACGCACAAGACCGATGAAAGACAGCAAACAAGAGAGCAACTTCATCGCGGACTGCGATACTGTGCAAAGATCACGAGCGTGTTTGACTTGCTGCTCGTTCATGCCTCCCTTCTTTCCAGAGGTAGTTGATGAACTTTCTTGGGTTTCTGAGGCAACGGGGGACGAGTCAAAGGGAGAAGGAGAGGAGGGAGGAGGAGACAACGGTGCTTGAGGGACAGGTTTGCCACAACTCTGAAGGGGGTCCTCAAGAGCGCGAAGAATGTCTCTTGATATTGATGTAGCGATTTGTGACGCATATTCCCGCAAAGGCTGCAAGGCCGGCTGGAGAATGGTGTCAGTCGACACTGGTTTGTTGCCTCCAGGAATCGCGGCTGGCAGTAGTTTGGCTCGAATTCGAGCAGTTATCACGCAGTACGCCTCGATGAGACCTAGAAGATCTGCCTCTGGGACGTCCTCAAATGTGCCTGGGGCAACAGATTGGACAAGGGTTTTGATAGGCGACAACAGGTATGCCGGATGTTCCGGAGGGTTTTCTGGCTCTGGAGTGCTCGCTCGTTGCAATCTTTCGGGAGGAAATAAGTCGTCAGCAAGATATTCCTCATAAGTACGCTTTTTGAGGATTGATTTCGAGGGCTCCTGCGACGATGGAGGTGTAAGATTGGCCGGAAGCCCTGGATCAAAGAAATGCTCTCTATTGC